TATGCTGAGTCAGGCTTGATTTTTAATAATCTTTTCCTCTTAAATAAATAAATCAAATCAACATCCCACATCCACCTGTATGCTGGTATTTATACTAAGTAATCTTGTTTTTCTTGATTTGTCTATTTTGAGTTGCTATAACACAGATATTTATCTTTATCTTGATTCTCATTCAAACAGGTTTAAATGCTTCTCTGGTATGAACGGTGACTCATCATTTACGAAAACAGAAAGTCTTTTGAGTCATCGTGAGTTGACAAAAACTGAAAAAGTTGCATCACTCATTCAAAGTAAAAACACCTACTTTATTATTATTATTATATACACATATATTTTGTTGCTGTGTTTTTGTTTTTTCTCTTTTGCAGGCAGACTTCATATGTACTGTCTTGTGTTTTCTTGATGCGTCTCTCTCTTCTTATCTCCATTTCAATCTCTTCACTTTTCTGCTTTTTCTTTTCTTTGTTTACTTTTTCCGTCTCGTGTCCGTTACGAATTAATCCTAAAATAATTTATTATAAGGGTTTCAATATAAATCAAGTGGAGCATCATGGTGAAATGCCATTATGCTGCACTTGTGAAAGTAAAAGTGTTGGGCTTCATTTAGACACTCAGACATCAATTCTGAGTTTCACATTGCCAGACCGGACACAGGAAAAAAAATAAAAAATAAAAAAATAACACCCACTCTTGGGAGACCAAATCGGCACCCCACAGTTCAAAATGATCTAAAAAAACACACAAAAACATGTCTGATCTGTTATCTCTTCCAATCTAATACGTGGAAGAGGAATTAATGCAGGCATGATTGTTTTCAAGTTTCTAATATTTCTTGTTTTGTTGGCTATAAAAAACAAACATGCTTTTATGGATAGTTGTGTATGTTTTTGTCTTACCTGACACCATATAGTTGACCTGCTGACACTGGCCATTAGCTGCAGAGGAAGGAGAGCCAGGCAAGATGGTTACTCTTGCTATTTCCATCCCTAGAACTCTTGCAACCCTCTGACGGAAATCATACCTGGACAGAAAGATAAAAAACATTAGTTTTGCATTGTAATAAATAGATATAGATGAAACCCAGATAAAAATGATAGAAATTCTGTAGACAGGGGATACACTGCATTATGTAAAAGAATAGAACTATTAGAAATGTTGTATCTTTTATTTTGCAGCATCAAATTATGTCTATCATTTTTGATTTAAAAATATTTTTTTCAAATTAAAAGAAGTAAAAAAAATTGTGTAGGTTATTAATTTATTTTTTAATGAATTCATTGCAGTGACGGACGAAGGTCACCTGTGGGCCAGATGTGGCCCTCAGGCCACCAGTTGAAAAGCCCTGTTGTAAACCATCTGTACAGCCCTGCTGTAAACCCCACCTCTGTCAGTGCGCCCCAGGGCAGCTGTGGCTACAGTGTAGTTTGCCACCATCAGTGTGTGAATGTGAGTGTGAATGGGTGAATGTCTGTTAGTGTAAAGCACTTTGGGGTCCGGGGGGACTTGACAAAGCGCTCTATAAGTTCAGTCCATTTACCATTTACCATCTGGTTCAGCTCAGCAGCACGAGTTTACTCTTCTAACTCTGCAGAGGTAGAAAAATCCTGCACTACAATTGTAATATCTGTCAGTAGAACAGCTTACAATAGTTTATTTCTGTGCTTTCTTTTTTAATTTTCAAAGGATTTCTGAACTCCACCTGTCTCTACGCTCAGCAAAATGACAAGTTGTTTAAAAACACCCATGACCGGTCACACGGCATGCAAACTAAAACAACATTCCGACAGTTGGTGGAGATAAGCTTGACCAGAAATTCTCCTGATCGCTGAGTCAGCAGAGGTGACGCTGTCTTAATGACTCTTTAGGGCGCAATTATGTTGTAGTTCAACAGATCATAAATTTTCCTGATACTTAACAAAAGATGGAATGTAAAGGATGACAGGAGGAAACAACAACAGATCTATTATCAAAGGTTGTGAGGTTTTTTTTATTTTATTCCAGGAAGAGCATTTTTAGACTTCCTTACCACACCTTTAAGGTTTTGACAGTTCTAATTACGGTAAATGATTGGTATTATTTTTGAAGTCCCACGTGACGGAATAATTTCAGTTTAAAACAAACATTACTCTGTTTGCTTCTAATATATTCTACTTTAAGTAGGCAGTAAATGTAAATTAGATTCTGAAAAGGAATTTGTTATAAAAAGTGCAGAACATCATCAGCAATTATTTTAACACTTTATTCTGGATTATTTTTTAATTTTTTTGTTTTTTTTGTGGGGTAAAATGTGCAATAAAAGTAAAGATTTTATTCTCGGTGCAGTCAATTGTACAAAATCAATAAAATTGTTCTTCATATTCCAGTTTTTCTGCCTGTCATTTCAGTCTGTCACATGAGATTTGTGCAGGATCAGCTCTTCCTGGTGGCAGAAATGGATATATTTGTATCATAGTATCTTTATCATGCCAGACGGTCAATTAGACACCACTATCTGTGGTGTTATTCAGAGTGCAGCATTTGAAACTGTCAAATAATAGAACAAAACATGTTAAAGGATTACCAAATAACTCAGTCAAGATAGATGTCGGGGTTTGGATCTGGGCCACAGTTTGGCAGCATGATACACATTAAAGTGCCTGTGACATGCATCTTCTTCAAATACAAAAAGTCAAAGAAAACATCTTTATGTTTAAGAAAGTTGGAATAATACACACAATTTAACACATTTTGTCACATAAGTGGCATATTTTCTTTTGAACTTGGCTCAGCCAAAGTGAAACAGGAAGTGACATCAAACGGGAACTCTTTGACAAAGAAAACTCTCTGGTCTTTGTTTATTGAAATAATATTATTTGAACTCTTGAGTCTTTTTCATCTCTCTGATAGTGACTCAAACTAATCTTAAAAGCATCAGATTCTTCTCTACAGGCTGGGTTGATAGCCATTTTTGCAATGCTCTGTTCACATGCAGACATTCCCCTTTGACATCACTTCCTGTTACTTCACGGGCAAATATCTCAACAACTGTTCATCTCAGCGACATGAAATTTCTTTTGCAATATTTTATCAATGTCCTCTTTCTAAAAATGCAGTCATATGTATTTCAAAAATTTGACATCACAGGCACTTTAAAGTTTAAATCTGCTCATTTTTACAGATTTCTTCTCAAACCTGATTAATACAAAGTACTGCCCATACTACAAACAATCAGAAACACAAAATTATATCAAAATTGTATTTTAACTTATAAACAAAGTATTTACTTGTGAAGTCGTTGCATTTGTTGTGACATGATCATGTTTATCATTACAAATCTCGAAATGCTTCATCTGTAATGTTTTAATTAGTTAGACTGATTTATATATGTTAGAGCTGATTCCCTTCTGCCATGTTCTGTGTTTGAAGTTCTAATCATAAAAGTCAATGTGATTTCTCACTCACCGGCTAAAGTTTGCCACATTGAGGAAAGTCTGAATTGCTGATGGAGACTCGGGAAGGATGACTGCACACGAAATAATGCTGCCCCCGCTCATCAGCACAAGAGATCTTTGGACAACTGTAAACATGCCAAGCCAAACATACATCAATGAATTTCATTAGTCAATATAAGTGACAAATTCAGTCATGATTTTAGATAGATAGATAGATAGATAGATAGATAGATAGATAGATAGATAGATAGATAGATAGATAGATAGATAGATAGATAGATAGATAGATAGATAGAT